AGGTGTGACTAGTTCTAAAAAATCTCAAGTTCTCTTCACAGATGAGGAACCTGTACTCGAAAAAGTGGCATGAGCACAAGATAGGTCTCGCGAGGGTGCAACAGAAACTGGAGAGTGTGCCATCGACCGAGGCAGCTACTTACTTCGACAGTACGATACCAATTCTGGAAAAATTTCTCAGAGATCCTCTCTACAATGTGAGTCTCACCTGCGTCGTACTGAGCACAACCTGTAAATTCTATCCCGAATTGAAAATTTTAGGTCTATGTGCTACTGCACTGGATCTTCTTAGCTTCGTATGCACCAAATTCGTGGTGGACCATCACTTGCAAAAAATGGCACCAAAATTGGCGCGAACGATTCATACCATCATCGCCGCCAGAGCCAATGACACTGTGCGTTGGCGTCTGTGTTGATTGTTATATAAGTTTATTTTGAGTGTTGTTCAGGATCGACGTGCTGCTGGTAGTACCTTGTCAACCATGAACGAAATTTTCGAACGTGATGAAAAGGTATTCCCCCTTTACAGTGACATTTCGTTTCCACTAAATCCAGGTTAAACTTACTCTTATACGTCACAAGTTACAGGAAAGACACGCTGAAAAACATGACAGGTTCTGCACTGCCCCCATACTTGACATACAACTATAACAACAAGAACTAGCATTACGAACAAACACTCAACTGACCAATTAGGGCTCCTGTCAATTAGGGGAATAAAATACGACGGTCTCGCCCTCATTTTCCCGCTGACGAATCACACTGCACGGTGCCTCTTACAGGCAGCCCCCCCCGCGTTGAGGTAATTCGTAGTCGTCCTTCACTGTGCAAGTAGTCCTGCACCTGCACCCCCCTCCCCCCTCCCAACCACTCCGTGCAACCCCCTCTCCACACCTAACGCAGAGGTTCTCGGTCGCCGTTTGTAGGAGCCGCGGGCATAAATCCAAATTTTTTTTTTTTTTTGCTTTCGTGCTCATAAGTAAATGTGTTCTCCTTTATTACATTTCGCTTTCGATTAGGACACAAACTGTCAAAGCAGCCTAACTCGCAGTAAGACTTGTCCAAGTCACCAGTGACGCATTTTTGGTGCAACGGCTTGACGTGCACCAAAGAATGCACGCTACTGTAAACCTAAATTCGTATGCAGAGTTTCAAAAGTTGCTTTTTGTCTAAAATCTTTTGGCGTGCGGTGTCCTTTACTGAGTTTTCGTTTTTTTTTTCTTTTTGGCAGTTGCATGATATTTAGTACCGTGAAAGCGAAAAGCCGCGGTGTTGCACAGATACCCGCAGGGTGGTGTGACTGTCACGAAGCGATTTTGTTTAAGATGTTCCTGGAGATTATTTTTTTCTTCTTTGGAGAACCTACACTTACCAGGTACTGGTTCGTAATTGAACAGCAACCATCCATGACAATTAATCGCGGGAACTGTCTTTGACTATGGCCTCTGGTGGACTATTCCTCTAATACAATCCACTCATCATTCATCATACTCATCATTGGCCATGAGCCCAGTGAAGCATGTGATGCAACCGTTTTAGCAATGCCAGAACCACAAAACCACGGCCTAGAACTTCTCCATGCGTAAAATGAAACCTAATTCAGTGTTCAACACAAGTCGTTCTCTAGGTGCCACGCGGAACTTCTCTTGTGTATCCACTTTTAAGAAGTGCAAGTTTCTCTCTCTCACTATAATCTTTTAACAAGAAATTTCAGCAATCTCTCCCCGTATATATACAGAGCTCTTTTTATATTTATGAGACGAATTCTAGGTAACTTTCAAGATAAGTCCGACTCAACATTATTACTGTGAACATTAACAATAATCGGCCACTATATTATAATTCACGGTAAGTATGTCTGTGTGCGTGTATCTGTCTCGTCTTAAACGAAAATTTCCATAGCGGTCGTCCCAGTTGCTGCTAATTTTTTGTGCTAAGTAGCCTGTACGTGCATAAGGCGAAGAATGGGCGTGGTCGGCGTCTCTTGCGTAGAGCTTTTCTCCCTTGGGTATGTGACAAGAGAATCGTATTCCTGCACTGGAGGGCGTCGTGTGCGACGTCGCGCCAGCAAATGGCGATGGTCCCAGGTAGTACGCGGCGACAACAGGCAATTCAGAACCGAAAATAGTCATGAATGTCTACGATGACGGGTCTACATGAAGTCCGGTGCTCCAATCGACAGCTCAAAACGAGTTAAGAAAACGCCGCTCCCATCGCCGCGCGGCGAAGCGGCAAATAACGATTCTCTTGCCCGCCCCGTTCCCCTTATTACCTCACTGTCACCATTCCAGATGAAGAGAGCTAGCAGTGAAACAACCGCACCCCCCCCCATTATTAATCACTTCATGCAGTTACCATAATCCCGATTTTGCAGATAATTTGATGTGTATTAGGCTAGATAAGGTAATAAAATGATACAGCGAACATCTAGTAAAACCTTCGGTACATTACGGACCGTTATCCACTCGCGAACATTCACACCATATGTTTCACGTTTCTCACCCCAAAATTTTAGGGGCATTTCATATTATTTCCTGTTTCAGCATCATCAGATGGTGCACTCTCCGCATTGACAAAGAAGAAGCGGCCATCTTCTGCCACGTCGAAGGCAACGTACTCGTCGCTATTCGTGAACGCTTCTCCACCACCAAAGGTGGACCCATGGCAAGGCAACAAATATCTGGAGAGGGAAAATACAATTGTGCCAGCTTTGAGAGTCAAGTTAGCATTCGACTGCTTCCATGAGCTCACTAACTTTTACTCTGTAAATTTAGATTGGATCGCTCTGATGCGATCAAGGAAGAGAGCGATCTCTCTAACAATGACGACATTCAGTCACTGGTGCCACCTAAAGAAAGAGTCGAATACTCTAGAGCGGTAGATTTGTTCGGACACCAAACGGTAATACATTTGATTGAACTGAAGACTACCGATCTTGTCCTCTCTTAACTCTTGCCGGCCCTCTCTCTGCTGCAGGAGTTCTTACGTTTTCATATGACATGTCCTTTGAGGACGCACTGCACGATTTCTGTGTGGGCGGACCGAGCCCTGTTCCTCTCTCAGCGGCGCACTACACCCCTTTTTCCCTTGGAATTATTAAGACGCCGCTCAAGAAGGAGCAGTGATGGGGCCAGCTCAGCCCATGCGGCTACTCCCAAGTCTCACTAACCACCTGGATTTGAACACCTCTTGAGGGTATGCTGAAAAAGAAAATTTGCTCATGAAACAGGTGTGAGTAGTTCTAAAATCTCAAGTTCTCTTCACAGATGAGGAACCTGTACTCGAAAAAGTGGCATGAGCACAAGATAGGTCTCGCGAGGGTGCAACAGAAACTGGAGAGTGTGCCATCGACCGAGGCAGCTACGTACTTCGACAGTACGATACCAATTCTGGAAAAATTTCTCAGAGATCCTCTCTACAATGTGAGTCTCACCTGCGTCGTACTGAGCACAACCTGTAAATTCTATCCCGAATTGAAAATTTTAGGTCTATGCTACTGCACTGGATCTTCTTAGCTTCGTATGCACCAAATTCGTGGTGGACCATCACTTGCAAAAAATGGCACCAAAATTGGCGCGAACGATTCATACCATCATCGCCGCCAGAGCCAATGACACTGTGCGTTGGCGTCTGTGTTGATTGTTATATAAGTTTATTTTGAGTGTTGTTCAGGATCGACGTGCTGCTGGTAGTACCTTGTCAACCATGAACGAAATTTTCGAACGTGATGAGAAGGTATTCCCTTTACAGTCACATTTCATTTCCTCTTAGGATCCAGGAACGCCTAACTTACTTTTTTATGTCTCGCATGCAAGTTATAGGACAGATACACGCTGAAAAACATGACAGGTTCTGCACTGTCCCCCATACTTGACATACAACTATAACAACAAGAACTAGCATTACGAACAAACACTCAACTGACCAATTAGGGCTCCTGTCAATTAGGGGAATAAAATACGACGGTCTCGCCCTCATTTTCCCGCTGAGGAAGTCCACGCTGCACGGTGTCTTCTAACACGCAGCCCCCCCCCCCCCGCCCGCGTTGAAGTAATTCGTAGTCGTCTTTCACTGTGCAAGGTAGTCGTGCACTGCCCCCCCCCACCCCGCTCCTCACTCCGCCGCAACGTCCTCTCCACACCTAGCGCACGAGCTCTCGCTGTTTGTAGCAGCCGCGCAAACTGTGCTCGTGCTCATAAGTAATTCTGCTCTTCTTTATTACAGTTCCTCCATTAGGAGCACACACTGTCAATAGCAGCCTAACTCGAAAGGTAAGACTTGTCTAAATCACCAGTGATGCAATTTTGGTGCAGAAGCTCGACGTGCACCAAAAATGCACGCGACCCTAGCCCTAAATTCGTGCGCAGAGTTTCGAAAGTTTCTTCCTGTCTGAAGTTTTGCGTCGGTGTTTTTATTGATTTTCGTTTTTTTTCTCTTTGCAGTAGATGATATTTAGTACCTGAAGAAGCGAAAAGCCGCGGGTTGCACAGATACCGTAGGGCGGTGTGACTGTAAGGAAGCGGTTTGCTTATGGTGTTCTTGGAAATTACTTTTTTTCTGCTTTTCGCTTTTTCCTCATCGGAAATCACTTACCAGGTACGGGTTCATAATTGAATAGCAACTGTCCATGACATTAATCAAGGGCACTGTCTTTGACTGCAGCCTTTGGTGGACTGCCTCTCATGCACTACATTCACCAGTGGGCCAGTGAAGCATATGATGCAACCGTTTTAGTAAAGATGCCAGAACCACGCCAGAACCACAAAACCACGTGCTAGAACTTCTCCATGCGTAAAATGAAACCTAATTCAGTGTTCAACACAAGTCGTTCTCCAGGTGCCACGCGGAACTTTTCCTGTGTATCCACCTTTAAGGATTACAGTTTTATCCTTTACCTGTCGGGCAGATCTTTTGAGACCCAGCAGCAATCTCCCCCGTATATATAGCTCCTTTTATATTGCTGACACAATTTCTAGATGGCTTTTAAAGGCAGTTGGCACGATAAATCCCCCAAGACGACTAGGATCAATACTCCTGGCAGGATAGAATTCCGCGACCCTGGGCAGGCGCTGCATAGCGGTTTCCCGAGGAAGGTGCCCTTATAAGGGCCCTATCAAGCCACAACTTTACGTCCCAAACGCCCGCCCGCCCGCCCACAAATGGACGACCGTTCCTGACGCTCGTATTCATTCATTTGCTAAGCAAATTATGAAGCGAAGGGATTGGTATGAAGCGGCCGTGATGCATATATGGGTACACATATGCAGCCGTATCTTCGGTAGCGGTGATTGGTAAGATGCCTACGGGAAACTCGTCCGAAATCGATTTACAAGTCACTGAGAACGGAGGCTTTTTCTTCGCAGGATTTTGACCGTTTCACTCCGTTCTTTCGCCATTTCCCCACTACAGCGCCCTACTAGCATTTTAGGCTAAGTAGGAAACCATCGTGCCAACTGCCTTTAAACGCTGTTTCCTACTTAGACTAGAATGCTGTTAGGGTGCTATATAGTGGAGGAAATGGCGAAAGAACGGAGTGAAACGGTCAAAATCTTGCGAAGAGAAGGCCTCCGTTCTCAGTGCTTGTAAATCGATTCGGACGAGTTTCCCGTAGGCATCTTACCACTCATCGCTACCGAAGATACGGCTGCATATTTGTATCCATGTATGCATGCAGCATCACGGCCGCTTCATACCAATCCCTTCGCTTCATAATTTGATTAGCAAGTGA